ATAATACATGTCAAATAATTTTCAAAAGTATCTCAATGTAAGACCAGAAACTATAGAACTCCTAGAGGAGAACATAGGCAAAACACTCTCTGACATAAATCACAGCAGGATCCTCTATGACCCACATCCCAGAATATTAGAAACAAAAGCAAAAATGAACAAATGGTACCTAATGAAACTTAAAAGCTTTTGCACAACAAAGGAAACTATAAGCAAGGTGAAAAGACAGCCCTCAGATTGGGAGAAAATAATAGCAAACGAAGCAACAGACAAAGGATTAATCTCAAAAATATACAAGCAACTCCTCCAGCTCAACTCCAGAAAAATAAATGACCCAATCAAAAAATGGGCCAAAGAACTAAACAGACATTTCTCCAAGGAAGACATACAGATGGCTAACAAACACATGAAAAGATGCTCAACATCACTCATTATCAGAGAAATGCAAATCAAAACCACAATGAGGTACCATTACACGCCAGTCAGGATGGCTGCTATCCAAAAGTCTACAAGCAATAAATGCTGGAGAGGGTGTGGAGAAAAGGGAACCCTCTTACACTGTTGGTGGGAATGCAAATTAGTACAGCCACTATGGAAAACAGTGTGGAGATTTCTTAAAAAGCTGGAAATAGAACTGCCATATGACCCAGCAATCCCACTTCTGGGCATACACACCGAGGAAACCAGATCTGAAAGAGACACGTGCACCCCAATGTTCATCGCAGCACTGTTTATAATAGCCAGGACATGGAAGCAACCTAGATGCCCATCAGCAGACGAATGGATGAGGAAGCTGTGGTACATATACACCATGGAATATTACTCAGCCATTAAAAAGAATTCATTTGAATCAGTTCTAATGAGATGGATGAAACTGGAGCCCATTATACAGAGCGAAGTAAGCCAGAAAGATAAAGACCATTACAGTATACTAACACATATATATGGAATTTAGAAAGATGGTAACGATAACCCTATATGCAAAACAGAAAAAGAGACTCAGATGTATAGAACAGACTTGTGGACTCTGGGAGAAGGCGAGGGTGGGATGTTTCAAGAGAACAGCATTGAAACATGTATATTATCTAGGGTGAAACAGATCACCAGCCCAGGTTGGGTGCATGAGACAAGTGCTCGGGCCTGGTGCACTGGGAAGACCCAGAGGGATCGGGTGGAGAGGGAGGTGGGAGGGGGGACCAGGATGGGGAATACATGTAAATCCATGGCTAATTCATTTCAATGTATGACAAAAACTACTGCAATGATGTAAAGTAATTAGCCTCCAACTAATAAAAATAAATGGAAAAAAAAAAAAGGTATCTCAACATGCTTTCACTGACAAGCTCTCATCAAGTGATAATATCATCATAGATGCAGATGCTTTGACAGGATGCAACCCTGGGACCTTGACTTTGTAATCTATATTGAATGACAGCTGCAAAAGTGGGTGGGCGTCACTGACCTAGGAGTCCAGACGGTCAGGCGTGGCCTGAGATCACATATCAAGCCCAGCAAATCCAGTTAAGGAAGAGAAAGTCAAGTTCATTTGTGGATACAAGTGGGGTAAGAAGGGTAGGATTCAATGTCAGAAAAATCAGATCACAGAAATGAGGAAACCAGACAAGGACACTGAGGAAGTTATCTGATCCAAGAGAGAAAGATGTGAGAAGAAATGAATGGGGGCAGTGAAATGATGGTTGAACGGGAAGGAATTTGACATCTATTGAAGAGCCACCTACAATTAGTCTCATGACAGGCACCAAATAGGCCACCCTAAAACATGCCACTTTGGCATAAGTATTATATTGAGCTGAAGGCAACTGAGAATCAACAGATGCAGAAGAGTTCTCTGCCCTCCTCTCATCTGCCTCAAAGCAGGGCATAAGTTTCCCTTTGAGGAAGGTACCTCCCTTCAGCCCCCCTCATTTCTCACCTCCTCCCCCTAAAAAAGCAAAATTCTCACTGAAGAAGGAGCAGCTGACATCAAAATGTTTTTGCATAAATAAACCTCACTAAAATAACCCCTGTTTTCCATCAGTTGCCCCATTTATTTCCTAGTCACTCCCCCACAATTCACTGACCCTTTAAGCCCAAATCCCCTTTTTTTGCTACAAGGATATACAAGCCCCTGAGTATAACCACTTCTTTGAGTTCCATTTTTTTTCTGTGAAAGTTCTGTGCATCTAAAAATTAATAAAGTTGTGTGCTTTTTCTTCTTGTTAATCTGCCTTTTGTTAGTTTAATTTGCAGTCCCCAAGTACCAAACTAAGAGGGTAAGAGAAACATTTTTCCTCCAAGACACTCATTTTACCATGAGAAAAATCAAGGAAATTCCAACTTGTCTAACTGCAAGTCTCTGTATGATATACGGGAACTCCCTCCATATCACACTTCCCAGCAGAAGCAGAAAATGATTTCAGAGAATGGATGCTCTGAGGTCACAGGAGACACAGGGTCCTCAGACTGGCTGAGAGGAAAGGGAGTGGAGAACAAGGCAAGATTATTCTAAAGCAATGTGCCACCTAATATCTCCACAGGTATAACTCCTAAGGGCCAATGAACTGGCTGAGAAAAATCTAAATGAATCTGCTAGTTCTTTTTTTTTTAAATTATTTAATATCTTAATTTGTCCTTTCACCAAGCTAGTACTTTGAAGTACATAGTAACCCCAAAGTAGATAAATATCCCCGAAGCTAAAAATGTCACATCTTCAACTCTTGGATCAGCTGGATATAAAATAATATTGAAGTAGGGATTCACAATAACATATTATAAAATGTTATCCTGTCCTACCCATTGTTGTTGTTTAGTCGCTAAGTCGTGTCTGACTCTTTCATGACCCCATGGACTATAGCTCGCCAGCCTCCTCTCTCCATGGGATTTCCCAGGGAAGAATACTGGAGTGGGTTGCCACTTTCTTCATCTCCCCTACTCATTCTCCATTGAAAATTGCAAAAAAGAAAATTATTTTAAATTAAACTCTAAACTCTGGAGAAATTGATCATCAGTGATAGTCTCTATAGAAGAGTATGGGAATCAATTAAACAGAAGCTGAAAAATGTCTCAGGGTATAACTGATAACATGATGAGACAGGAAGAACAATTTCAAGTATGAAGTTAAATCTGAAACTTCTTACTTAGAGAAAATGCAGAGGCTTCTCGTGTCTCATAGGACCAATCTGCAGAACTATTAGAGTTTGAGGAAGCAAGAACCAGAGAATAATTGTTGTTGTTTGTTTATTCTTGACAGTTTTAAAGGACAACTTCTCTCGGGGAAGAAATTTCTGTGTTCCTACTTAGAAGTTACTTCTAAACCCAAGACTGTTCCAGAAAAGCTTTTTGGCTCTTTCTGAAACTTTGGAAACAGATTTTGCATAAAATTGCATAATCTGTTTACTTAGTTGCTTCAGTATATTAACATTCCTCAAATTCAGAGGTTTAAAAACATCACTGAATATGAAACATGTTTGGAAAAAGTGAAAAAAAAATGTCACTGTTACAAAGGTTAGTTGCCAGACCAGTGAATGAAAGATCAACATTTTGTCCTTGATGGTCTCTGAATTGGACAGCTGCCATTTTCAGCATGAAAGCCTATTCATTGCTGATGTGATTTTTTTTGTTAAATGTTAAAATGACCCAAATGTTTTCTTGAATTATAGCCCAGGCAATTTAGGCACTTAGGTCTGGTTAAAGCACTGGTTGCCAGATTTTCTTAGTGCATTATCCACTAAACCACATGCACTGCAGAGAAAGCCTTAATTTCTATTAAAAATTTAAAAGTTGATAAAAAGAAGTTGCTTTTGTGTAAGAACAAACTCATCTGTTGATTCACTTGCAGTATTAAAGGTTTAATAATCTCTTACATGAGAATTAAAATATAAAAGCATTTGGTACCAATGCTATATAATACTTCAATTCTTAAAGAACTTTTTGAATCATGAGAATCTTTCAAGGAAAATAGGAAGAACAGATACCTGGAATACATTACTAAAATTAAGGTAAAATTATTGTACACCATTAAAATTTGTAATCTCCTGTTAATGAAGTTTTAAAAGACAGTCCATTTATTGCAGGGAGCTTAGGGAAAGGAAGTAGTAATTATCAGAATATATGCCCCAAATCATTGTTCTATTTCACTCCTCATGCATTTAAACTGTCTCCCTCTGCTACAAGAGTCTTTTGTAATAAAAGCAGAAGATTTTGATAGCCAACTTAATGTAAACTTAGATGCAATTCACAGCAAGTTTTAAAAGAAGGGAAAAAAATCAAATTTTATTAGCAAAGTTTCAGATTAATTTGTGGCAGAAGGGTTAAAATACATGTTAGTCTTATTAACAGATAGTTGATTCTGATTCCTAAAAGACAGTTCTTCCTTTTTTATGCCAGGCATCTAAGTTGCAAAATTAGGTAATGTCCTTGCGGAAGACAGCGTAGCAAGAAGGGTCTGTGCAGGCTTCATTTATTTATCCCTTTCTAAAGTTATTTTTAATCATAATAATAACAAATTTTGTGTGCCTACTGTGACCTAAGCACTTGATGAGCACTATCTTGTTTAAGCCTGACAGCAATTCTATGTTATCTGAATTAATATTTTCCTTATTACTCAAGTGAAAAATTGAGGAGTCAAAGAACTAAGTTGTTCAAGGTAGTTCAGCGAGTAAATGGTATGTCTTGGATTTGAATCTAGGTTCGACTGACACTTGAGTCTGTGGTTTATTACTGAGCAAAACCGCAGTCATCAAATCATCTGATAAATTTCTTCTGCAAAGTCGGAAAACTTTTCAAATTGGACCAGCTATCTCACTAACATTTTTCTTTCTTTACTGCCTATAAATGATGAACCTGCCAGCAAAAATAGGCATAAGCTTATCAGCTGTTCCACTTTTAGCAGAATGATACTCTCAAAACATGTCCATATATTTAGAATCTTGTATCACTTCTTTATCATGCCTGTAACAGCTTTATGATCTATTTGAGAAAAATAAAATGTTCCAACTCACCCCTCTGGCTGACTTGTCAATCCACAGCATCCTTCTCCAGTAACATCCGTATCTGAAATAGTAAAAAAGACCTAAAGACATTTCCAATAAACCACTTCTCTGAAGTTTTCCTTTCCTTACTCAGAAAAATGAGGCATTTTGGCTTTGACACTATCTTAGCACTTAGTCCTTACTGACATCAGAGAACAAACCACAGAACATTCTAAATTATTTGCTGGTGAATCATCTTGTACCTGGACCAGACTCCAGATCTCTTAGCTTTCAAAGAATCTGTATGGTGAACACAGTAATTCCATTTTTGATTATTCTTTCATTTTTTGAAAGAATGTTGAAACAGCTGATTATTACTGTAATTTTCTCCTCATGAACTTGCTCAAATTATTATTCTAAAAAACAAACAAAAACAGTGCTCTTCACTTTACAAATGGGAAAACCAAAGAATGGTTTTAAGCACTCTACCACAAAATCACAAAGTATCCAAAGCTTCTGCTTGAGGAAAGACCTTTGAATAATAGAGAATGCCACATACTGCATTGCATTCCATTTCTTGCTACTCTACACCGTAAATGAACTTTCATAATTTAGAGAGGGGAAATTAATACTTAGTTTTTTGAAAACTAGATATTTGATGAACATCTTGAAAACTATAAATTATATAAATCTGATATGATATAAAATAAAAAAGAAAATACTACTTAGCAAAAACAAACTCAGTTTTCCCTTAAGGGAAAACATAGAGATCTTTTAGAAGATTTAAGATTCATATTTGTGCTTCTTTCTGATAATTGCTACGAATCATTCAGTCTTATTGAAGTGTACAATTACTACATATATAAATAGAACATTCTCATATATATGTATGTGTTGATTTTTATATTTTTGTGTCATCGATGTAACTAGAACTTTAAAATTCATTTATTAAAAAAACCAAGATATTTGAGATTTTAACCAGCTTTTATTCTGCCTAGGGTTGACTTCCCTAGTAGCTCAGAGAGTAAAGCGTCTGCCTACAACGCGGGAGACCCAGGTTCAATCCCTGGGTCAGGAAGATCTCCCAGAGAAGGAAATGGCAACCCACTCCAGTATTCTTGCCTGGAAAATCCTACGGATGGAGGAGCCTGGTGGGCTACAGTCCATAGGGTCACAGAGTCGGACACGACTGAGCGACTTCACATTCTGCCTAGAGCTGTAAAATAAATGAGTAGAGATAGAGAAGATTAAGATATTCTAGGAATGGAAGAGTCACTATAAAGTAACATGCTCTGACAATTCCAGAAACTCTAACCTAATCTGACAGGATTCTTCTCAGCTATGAGCCTGAGGATGAAAGGCAACTATTTCCAACTTAAACAATTTCCAAGACTGGAGAAATCTGAAGCTGTAGGATCTCTTGGCTACCACAGATGCTACCATCAAAATGCTTTAGAAGGGAGCTTTTTTTTTTTTTCCTTCAAATGATTAAGGAAAGCCCAGAATTTATTGAAGGGTGCCAAGCTAGGAGAATGGGCAGCTAATGCTCAAAGACCCAAACGCCACAATGGCTTTCAAGTAATGGTTTTAAAAAGCAACAGTTGGGGTAAGGGTTGCACCTCATGGACTCTTTTTTTTTTTTCCTGCTTGGTTGGTGGTGAGATAATAGGATGGTGGTGATGTTTCAAAAGTCTTAATGATTAACCTTCTCATTCCAATCAGTCTGGGGTCTATGTACTTGTGGTCAGCATGTAGTCGCAATCCTCAACCTGAGGGGGGTAGGTCTTAATTTCTGAAGAACAGCTCAAAGACATGCATCAAATCATTATGCATGTAGAAGGGAGCTCACTTTTGCCCCTGTAATAATGTTCTTGTAGGGCTTATGCATTCACATGTGGACAGTGCAGTACTTAATTATTGTTCATAGCTAAGAAAAGAGAAAGATAAGCAAGCAAGTGTACACAAAAAAGTGTCAATATATCATCAGTCACTGGATGTTGGACAACAGGTGACAAGACATTGAGAGCGAAATGACTGAGTGATTTTACTAATGATCTTCATTCTGTCTTTTGGGAATGCAAACGATCATATCTTTTATCTCCCCAACTAAAAGTTTTATTTAACACCAGAAGCAATAGTATCCATGGTAGAGAGAAAAAATAACCTCCTGAAGACATCCATAATCCCCAGCACCTCCATAAATATGTCACCATATAGTGGCAAAAGGGACTTTACAGATGTAGTTCAAGATCTTCAGATAGATTATTTTGAATTATCTCGTTGAGACAAATGCAGTCACAAGGTTAGCAGGAGGGGTAGAGATAGAGAAGGAGATGTGAGGATGATGATGATGATGATAGAAGTACAGGTCAAGGGGATGTTGCCATGAGCCAAGGACAGTGGTCTGCCTCTTGAAGCTAGGCAAGGCAAGGAATGGATTCTCTCATAAAGCCTACAGAAGGAATGAAGCTCTACCAATATTTTGATTTTAGCCCCATAAGCCCTATTTCAGAATTCTGACCTTCAGAACTATAAGATAATAAATCTCTGCTGCTTTAAGTCATTAAATTTGTGATAATTTGTTACAGCAACCATTGGAAACTTATACAATGTTTTTGTTGAATATCTTGTTTCCATCGATGTCTTCAATCTAAATATGCATTTTCTTTTTCCAGGGAATAATCTATGCTAAGGCCCTATTTTGTACCATAATGTATAAAACATTTGTAAGTTAGTGTCAGGATATGCTTTTATACATCAGGGAGTTGCCTTCAACTAAAAAGGTTAAAAATATTAAGAAGTCCTAGAAATTGTCATTTAGGAAATAATTCCTATGTTTTTGTAATACATCCTTCATCCTGGTTCAGCCCTCATCCTCTTTGACATACAAAGAGAGTAAGAAAATAATTTAGACACTGTGACAGACACAATGTGGGGCAGTGCAATCCGGATGGCATAATGCCTTTGTAGAGAATTGAGGTTGTGTGGGGTTATATGGCAGCCTGTGCCAGAGAAACCAACAGATGCCCAAAGATCTCAATCAGCCTTATAAGCTGTCATGAAGTTCTGCTACCTAAGCAGCATAAAATGCAATGATAATGAAATAGAAAACTAAACTAAGAAGTTCAGTATGTCCTATAGCAATCTGGCAGAAAAACCATTGCACCAATGTGATCTGCAGCCCAATGAGTCTAGTTTCAATGGGAAATCAATTGGCTGCTATCTCTTTATCTTAAAATACTGTCACACTATGATAGACCAGTTGACTGCTCTATCCAGGTGATTCCACCCAAGACTTGAGGTATTCCACCCAAGTGTCCTTAGTAACCATGATAAGAGCAGGTAGATTTGGGAATCCTTTGGGCTACCAACAGTTTGTATAACAACTTATTTCTCAGGATTCTGGTACTTTTATTCATCTTGGACTCAGCCCCACTCAATATCAATTGAGCTCCATTCAATATCAGGTCAGGAGTCTAGACAGCAAAACTTTTACTAGAGAACTAACGTTACCACTCCCTATTGACATGCTCTCCCAGCAACATGTCAGGGATCATTCTTAGCATGGTGGTCATTGGTAATCTTCCCAATAGGGAAAAAGAATTTTAAAAGATGTAAATGAATGATTTGAAATGCCAAGTGGAATTCAGGTACCAAATAACTAGTTACATTTTTACCTGCCTTCTTCTCCCAAAGGAAGTCTCTCTCCTGAAATATCCAACTTGAAAGAAAAGGAAGGGAGGGATCCCATTACAGGTTGGAAGGGTACTTCCTGAAAGTCAATCATAGTCTCTATGTCTCAGCAGTTAGACAAGGGCTGGAGGATATTGCTGGATTGTCTACGTTGGGTATAGCCTTGGTTAAGACAAAAAATTCTACATTCCTCGATAAAGAGAAGTCTATTACACAAGCCACTGAATTACTTGGAGAGCTAAAAACTATCAGTAATCAGTTCACTGGGGAGATGTAAACAGGTAGCTCGGATGGTAAAGAATCCACCTGCAATGTAGGAGACTTGTGTTCATATGGGTTAGGTGCTTTCTCATTACTGGAAATACAGACATGATTAGGGCAGAGCACTTCACAGACAGGCATGAGGAGAGTTATACTTTTCTGAGTTTAAATCCTGGCTTCATCTCTGAATAGCCATGAGACTTTGAACAAGTTCTACTGTTTCCTTCTCATCTACAAAGTGATGATATTAAAGCTCCTATTACCTAATTAAGGTAGCCAGATACTGTTTCTGCTGAGTAGCTTATAATCCGATGAGGAGATAAACACACATTCAGATGCCTAAATGTTGCAAGGGAGGTGTATGCAGTTATGTGGAAGCACAGGAGACCTAGATAGAAGGGGACCTGAAGAGGAATTTGTAGCTGGTGGAAGAGCCTGCAGTCCAGACAAAACCCTGATTTATCAGGTCATTTAGCCCAACATGTTCTAACAGAGAACCTTACCTACACAGTCTAAAAGTGCAGACTGAACTTCCAAGGTTCTCTTTCTTGTTTGAGAGTAAACTGAAGCTAGTAAAACAATGTACTTACATCCATTTATTCTTTCAGCTCCTATTTGGACAAAGAAGTAGCAAGCATCAGTCAAGGCTAAGAATTTTACTGAAATACTAACTCCAAGGCAGGAATTCAGCTGCCCCTTACTCTTCTGGCATTGATCGGGCCTGATTTAATTGATTAGCATGGATTCCTTTCTCCATATAAACCTGCTAGTGTAGATCCAATGTTAATCAAAATATACTTCAAACGATGAAATTGGGCCGATTTGAATTAAGTAGGGAAACTAGGAAATAATTCCTGTAATTATAACATAATTACAACCTATTTAAGAAATGTAAATTACATTGGGATTCCCTAACTGGATGCCCTTTGTTGGCCATTTTATTAAATGGCGTAATTCTATTTGCAGTAGTAGGCCTACAACTATCACACGAGAAGCTTACTGGCAGATCATCAATTTATATTGTATTCATGAAGTAGCGTTCCTTACTAAGTTGTCTTGGTCTTTTGTACAATTAGAAGGACATTCAGAACATGGGACCTATTGGAATAGAACAATTTTTATGGTTTT